AAAAAAAAAAAAAAAAAAACATCATTAGTCAGTCACATCTCATGTCTGAAATCTTAGAATGATGTCCAAAAATTGGTCTAACCTCTGTTCCAGCTATACTCATTCCTAAGCAAAACCTTTGCATTTGGCCTAAAAGGTCCATTCTCAGAAAATGCACCAACACCAATAGATGAGCAACCAGGCCCTTCATCAAACATACCCACAAAATTAGAACAAACCCATCTCAGAAATAAGCCAATATAATCAAATCAGCCACGAGAGTAAGGTTTCACAGAGTACTTCTCACTGCTCATTCACTTACATGTAATCAAATACAGGGAAATGCTACGGTCCCGTTACGGAACCATTCAGTCGGATTTGTAACCGTTAGATCATAGTGTAACCATTGGGGGATAGTTGATCTAACGGTTACAAACCCAAACCCAACAAGATAATTCGGTAACGGGACTATAGCATCTCCCTCAAATACAATGCCCCAACTGAAAGTGAAACACACACACGCACACACACACACACACAAACAGAAGAGCAAAATTAGAAAAAATGAGCACTCTAAAAGTACCTCCATTTAACCACAAGACAACGGGCTTTGAAGCTGGATCAGTTTCTGCCTCGACAAAGTAATAAAAAAGTGATCTTTCACTCTTTTCACCCACAGCAACATAACCGGAAAATTGGTGGAAATCCACATTCGGTTGGCCGGGCAGCTGAGTGATTTCGTCAGCCCCCATTAAAATCAAACACCTCAAGAAAACAAGGAGAATGGCTAAACCCATTATCATTGCCATTTCGTCAAGAAAAACAGAAAAAAAAAATCAAGAACTCAAAATGGGATTCTTGAGAATTCTAAAAGCCCTTGGACCGTAAACCATGTGGAGTCTGAAGATGAGTGTTATTATGTGGTGATATATATATAATGTAATTAAGGTGAAAGCGGCGTGCTGTGGGTGGGGCGCACAGAGACCTTCCACCAAATGGAATTGCGCACTCTGTGAGTGTGTGTTGTATGAGTGTGTTTCGTTTTGTTTATTATATATTCTTTTGAAATGTCCCAAAAATGCAGAAAGGTTGGGTTTTTTTTTTTTTT